AAACGCCGAAGAAGGGATTTCCTGAGCTACGCGTTCATAGGACGAATATGGAGTGAGTTATGGCTATAAATATTAGCCATAAATATCCAGTATGAAAATTGGACCTTTAAGTCGAATAGCCGTTGGGATACATGGGTTTCTGGGAAGATAAAAACCTCTGCATTAGGCCAAATCTCAAGTTGGTTATAGAATCAGTTTAGAAGATGAGAAGTTAACCTCGCAGTTCTTAGGCAGACGTTTTCGAGCAATCGTGTTTGTAAAATAATTTAATGTATGTTGTAGTTAAAGTTATCCGAACTGCAGAGCTGTCAATTTATGTCAAATGTCACTGCATCTGTTCTAGAGATCCTTAGAATAAATAAATAAATAGCTGTTTGCAGCTGTCTGTAGAAGCTCTCCAACATACAAAAGGAATAAAACATAGGTGGTCGATAGATTCGTTAGCGGTGAGAATATAGTCTGCACTGAGTTGCATGCAGGGAACTGATACGCTTTTCTTGGCTATCGATTCTAGCATTCCCTTGTAGACTAAATAATTCTACTCTGGTCTGTTTCGCTAAGGCAATGGATGTTGCCATTACCTTTTCGCGGGGGGAATTTCATTAAAACAAGTCCATCATATTGCCTAATTTGTCCATCTGTTCAGTTAATTTGCGTTCTCTCCGAGAACCCACTGAACTACTCTGATGATACTACAAGGTTAGTCCAATTGGCGTGAAGAGGTTCCTGCATTGGCATTTCACATGACGTTACTTTGCAATGAATCCAGAGATATTATATCCTGCTGTAGTTATCTGTTCTCGGCTTCTGGATTATTTTTTTTTTTCTAATAACAGTGCTGACTTTCGTTTTTCAGTGTTTCCAGGACAGAAAGACAGTCTCTTTATCATATAGTTTTTGTTAACCATCTCCCCCCCTCCCCCCCCCCACACACACACACACAAATCACACACACACACTTAGTCGAACGTCTAGTTTATCAGTCGATAGGAAGTTTTTATTTCAAGAGTTTGTCACTGGAACAATTTATTTTCATAAGTGATGGTGCTCAAAGATAGTCCCGTCCAAATATCTAACGAACACGCTATGTAATAAATGGCAATGGAGTCTGTTTGACAGAAATTAAATGGAGGATAGCCATAGCAATGCATGCAAAGTCAATGGTTAAGCACCAGCAAGGAAATCAGAATTACAATTTTGAGAGCAAGCATCTTCCCTGTAGCAACATACGGATTTAAGTCGTGGACTATCTCCCAGTCCTTAAAAAAGAGAATAGGGTTTTTTTTTTTTTTTTGGCTGCTGAAATGCTATAGAATGATTCTCAGAATATCATGGACAAGAAGAGTATAACTACTGCAATAAAAAACGATTTCGACTTAAAGGACGATTGGCTAATAAACAGCATCTTGTCTCAGAAGCTGAAATATTTGGGTCATATTAAGCGCTATAGCAGACTAAAAAAAAAAAAATATATTAGCAGAAGGAATGGTAACAGGGAGGAGGGGCATGGACCGACCAACACGAAGATGGGCTCAGGATATAAGTTACGCCTTAAATATAAAAGTACACTAGGCGGGAAAGCTGGCAAGAGACCGTGTTTCTTTCAGGCAGACCGTGATCAGAATGACGTTCTGCAAAGGACCTGCTATTACACGACGACATACTATATCCGGCGGAAAATGTGGCTATATATATCCTGACACATTGTTCGAGATCACATTGTGTAGATTACCCATGCTAGTCATGTTTGTTTTTTTTGTTTTTTGTCCAAGGCACTGTGGTATTGTAAAGAATGCATACCTGTTGAGCATTCTGTCAAGCATCTTATTCTTCCAATCCTTTTGAAATTTTCCTCGCGTGGGTTGCGAAGCTCCAACGTGGAAGGAGAAACAAGAATAAATCTATTGCTTATATAACAAGCATGTCGTAATAGTCGACTGATTAGAGGGCTCATCTGCCCTGAAAGAAGGAACCCACAGTCTTAATACAAACAAACCAGATTTGTAAAACTGATGTGCATGCACAATATATGTTCTAGAACACGACTAAAGTCTTGAAGTGGACGAACAGCCTGAACTTTCCTCTGGAGTTCACAGCAGGTAGAAGCAGAAGAAACTGAGCATATATCTACACTCCTAAGTGCATTAAACCCTTTCTCAGTGACTGTATTTTCTAGGTGAGCTGGGAATATCTGGCGAATCATATCTTTGGTTGGGCTCTGTGACGGATATTATTGCTTAGGAGTCCAGGTGAAGTTGATAGAGATGTGATAACATCTACTTTCATAAGCAATGTTGCAGGTGGTATTTCTTAGTTCTTGAAACACATTTTCTGTGTGACTCTAACCTTGTTGAATTTCTTGATTTCTCTTAACCTGACTTTTCGAGTTTCATAATCATTCACAACGAAACTGCTGTAAAATTGCGCCTTTGAACTGAACGGGACGTCCATGAAAGGAACCCACGACCCCCAGAAGCAAACGATTCGACCACCCCGCCATGGAGATCCCCCTATATGGTGATGGTGACCATGTGGGTCTACAGCCAATTGTCATGTATACGGCCAATCCACATCGGCGACGGGTCCCCTAATGCAGCACACACAAAAAAAGCAGTCTTCATCGAGCCAGATGACAGTTGTCAACTAATCAGAGACATTAGACGTTTACAATCAGTTGTTTTGGACATGTTATAAGAAAACAGTCGGCTCTGTGGCTAAGTCGATGCGAACGCTTCGCTTCGTAATGCCGAGATGCCAGGTTCGATCCCAGCTGCGGGCAATGCGCCTTGCGTTGGTTTCGACAGTGGTATCAGGAAAGCCGACCGTCCAGAAAGCAATGGCAAACTACTGGATGTAAATTGCCTAGAGAAACTACACAACAGCCAGGGGCTGAGGGTTGGTTCTGCAACGTCCTGTAAAGGATACGCAACTAACATAAGAAAACAAATGACTTGTGAACCTGGAAAGCACTGGAAATATGGAATAAAAAAAGGCAAAGAGATAATTACTTGAATGCCCTGGCCACTTGCAGGGGGCGAGACGTGACAGCCTACACTTGCCCGGCTCTCTAGCGAAGTTGGTTAAACCTGATTTTCGCGGCGGCCGGGTGACGAACTCCTTGTGGTCCGGGTTCAATCCCGGGGTAGGCAGAAAAGCCACATTTCTCCAAGATTAATGGCACCTATAATGGAATCAAGGCCGAAGGGTTGCAATATCCATAGTACCGAGCCGAAGGGTTATAAACTCATGGTTTCTGGATACGTAAAAAAAAAAAAAAAAAATAGCCTACACTTTCCTTACAGCACATCATCATAAATGATTTTGAGGTTTGTGATCAATGTTCCTTCGGCTTAACCTTAAGAGAATCGTTAGCGTATCTTCTGTGCATACGTCTTCATTTTGGTAACACACAATGGGAGACATTGACTATTATGGGACCCCGAACAAAATTAATGGTTTATAAAATCCTGAATGTGACAGTAAGACTTTCACAGTAATACGGACCAAGATGGGAAAACATACTGTCATTATTCACAATCTAACTATCGAAGTTGATTGGTTCATAGTCAGTACTGTTTCTAAGACTTGAATACTTGAATCACGCCAGATACCTCAGTAGTTTCGAGGCAACATTAATGGAGTACATGTTTTATATAAGAAGACGCGGGGGATGACCAACACAACGAAAATGTAGCAGAGTAACACGGACTGTTTGGGAAATAAAAGTTCACAAGCTCTGAGAATTAGCAAGGGAACGAGTGGCTTTACATAATGAGAGCGACGTTCTGCGTTTTACATGCTACATGATGATGCTAAGGGTAATTCTCGAGAATCGATATTGCTGTCATATTACTTATTGTTGTATATTCTACCCAACCTGTTTGTTATATTTTGCATGTTTAATAGAAATATTGAACCTATTTTGTTGTGTCATGATCCTAATTTTAAGAGATTTTTTTTTTTAAATTCACATCTCACAACAGCTATCATTTCTTTGTTAGTAATCTTATCTAGCACTGGGGGTATACTTGTATTCATCACATTTATATCACCCTCTTTAGCTTTCATTAGAGACTTTATCAACTGGTCGTCAGCTTTCTTTCTGATAATTTATCGTCAGATAATTTGTCTATACGCGGTAATTCTTTATATCCTCTTTTGCCCAATCATATTTTCGGTTCTTTGGCTGAATGTGTGTGTGTGTGTGTGTGTGTTTTTTTTTTTTTTTCTGATTGTTCATTTGTGTGTGTGTCGTCTTCTTGCTCCAATTGTTCCCTACACTTAGTATTTAGTCAGGTTCCTACATTTTAAAACTTTTTTCTACGTATTTTATTTTTTTTTTTATATATCGTGATGGACTTTAGTTTTTGTCTAAACTGACTGCTTAAACGTTTGTGGACAACCTAAAGAATTGTTTCTTGTGTCACTCCACTTTACACGACAGATTGGAAGTTGCCGGAAGCATGTTTTTAGATTACTATAACATGTGCCCTAGCCCACCTAACCAGTTTCTCTCTCTCTCTCTCTCTCTCTCTCTCTCTCTCTCTCTCTCTCTCTCTCTCTCTCTCTCTCTCAGTCTCTCTCTCTCTACATCCCCACCCCCTCCCCACAGGCCAAATCCACGAGAAACATTTTTCCCACAAAAACTTCTTCATTTCCTGTTCTACGGCTCCGAGTTTTGAGAGGGCTGTGTAAGGCCCTTCTTCGTGCTCTTCTGTCCGCTTTGACTATAGAAACATTACAAATAGTGCTGTTGTGAACTGTCTCTAAAATTATCTGTCCATATTTGTCTTTGCCTACCGTGCGTTAAACTTCCTTCTCTTTGGCGTGTGCCTTGTACGATATAGTGTCACAAGTATTCTCTCCAAGTTAGGAAACAATTTCTCAAACTCTAATGCAATCAAATGTCAGTGTGTCAGAATGTACTGAGAGTATTTGCTATTAAGTTGTGTTAACCTTCATGTACAGTAATGTTTACTTAGTATGTATCTTAATCACAGCTGGCCTTGTCCGACGCAAAGAGTGACCAGCCTGCAAATGCCCCTAGACTCTCAGATGTGCTTCGCTGGAAAGATTCCTTGCCAGACAGATTATCCCCCAACCCTGCAACAGACCAAGCTGACTCCAGCAGACTGGCAGCATTTGCTTCATCTCCTCCTGCAGGAATAAGTCTTGTAATCAGGAAACGACAATTCTGTAACTCGTATGGCTGCAACAATGGGGGTAAACGGGCCATCCAAGCACCTCTGGAGAACAATCTTGAACCATCTCAAGATGCAAACCAGAAGATGTAAGGTTCTGTTTCTAGCTCTTCTGGCTGCCTCGACCATAGGCACATCGTGCTGTTGTAGAGTTTCTCTGATGTTATCCTTCCATATTTTTCTTGGTCTACCCCGTGCTCTACGTCCTTCTTCTCTTTTCATGTATGCTTTTTATGGTACGGTGTCACAAGGCATTCTCTCTAAGTGGGCAAACCATTTCACTTGCTGTCTTTGTATGTAATCCAGAATTGGTTCTGTGCCGACTTGTTCTCTTATGATCTCATTCCTGATCTTATCTCTTGTGGTCACTCCTACAGCCCCTCTCAGACATCTCATTTCCGTGGTTATTTCCGTATTCAACCCTACAATATGATACAGACTCGTCGAATATAAACACTGAATAAATAGCATTCAGCTGACGTACTCTAAATGTTAGAATACCGTTTATATGTCAAATTTCATGCTTGTTTAAGAATTATGTGAACAAAACCCACTTTGATTATTGGAATTGTTTTTAAGATTGTTCATGGGTGATCTTGCAGTCCTCAGCTGGCGACTTCAAATATTTATCAGTTGGTGTGCATACTCTCTACCAATCCATATCCCGACTCAAACATGACAGGCCTATTTTTGCCTTGTCTTCGTCTATCTTTTTTTCCCCCTAACTTTCGGTGACAGGAACTAGTAACGTTGGATGTTCTTTTTATAAAATCATTGTCTTTCTCTCCTCTACTGTTTATTATTTCTGTGATCTATCTTCCCTCTAATGTTATCCTAGTGTCTTGATACTCACACTCATGTACTTGTTCCAAAATAACATTGTCACGTTATCTTAATCCACGACAACATAAAGTGCATGATAACAAAACAATCCACTGAGTCAACTCATCAACACCATCAGCATCCTTTATGTGCCGTTAGACGTCATATATGACTCGCAATCAGTTTCTCTAATCCGCTCTGTTGCATGTAACTTTCTCGATTTCTGACGTTGTGTTCCGTCCGGCATTTTTTCCCTCTTGTAACAATGTTCTTTGTGACTCTCAAAAAGCCTTTGACAGTATCCACCGTCCTGAACTTTGGAAACTACTTAAAATATACGGTGTCCCTACCAAATTCATCACTGTCATAAAATCTTCCTACAGTGAAACACGGTGGAGTGTAAGAAAAGAATCCGGCAACTCTGACTTGTTCCCAGTGGTTTTAAAAAAAAAAGTAAAGGACCCTCTTTAGCGCCTTTAGGCGTAAAGGGCATATAGGGCTTGACCTATATTTTTATAGACCAATCGGCACAAGATGTGTGATGTGGTCAGCATTACGCCGGCCGCACCCAGTACCAACTCAGGGTTAGCTCAACTTGGGAGCCAAGGTCATTTTTGAAAAAAAAAGTCCGGCTCCGCCAGGGAGCGAACCCTCGACCTTCCGATCCTCGGCGAGCGTCTAGCCGTTCCGCTACGGCGACTCCCGTTTCCAGAGAAAACAGGAGTAAAACAAGCCTGTGTCGTATCGACGATTTCTTTTTGGAATAGCAGTCGATTGAATCAAGAACAAATGCACAAACAACCCAAATATTCGTATCAAATGGTTTGACACAATTTTAGAAGACCTTGGCTTTGCTGACGACATAGTACTTTTGAGTTCAACACACGCAGATATCCAAGATAAAACAGACCAACTCCAAAATATTTCAGGACAAAAAGGACTTCAAATTACCACAGCAAAAGCAAAAAATTATTGATCTTACCAGTAGTTCAGAGGACATCAAACTAAACAATCACAGTCTTGAAACATCGACAGCTTTATATACCTAGGGAGTAAGATGACATCCTCAGTGGATTCAGCACCATAAATATCCTTTAGGATCGCACTGGCATCTAGCGACTTTTTCAAACTGCCAAACATCTGGAAGTTAAAGACACTCAGCAAACACATACAACTTAAGATCTTCCACTCTTGCGTAATTCCAGTACTAAATTATGGCTGCAAGAATCGGAAAGCAACAGTAGTTCTTTATTTTAAAAAATATACACTCTGAGAACAGATGTGTCTTAGAGGAATACTCAATCTCTAATGGATAGATTACAGATCCAATACTCGTAAGACAAGAGAACAAGCAAGAAAATGTAGCAAATTTCACAAGAAAGCGATGCTGGAATGACATCGACCTTACACTCTGAATGGATGAGTCAAGACTCTCCCATCAAGCCCTTAAGGGGTCACTAAACAGCATTTTTTTTCAATTTATGACAACAATGTCACTTTTTCAATGTGTACGTTTTTGTAAAGTTCAGCATTCGTAGAATAGATTACACACAAAATAGTTGTTATTTGTAAACAATTTAGCTTTGAAAAGTTGATACTAAAGGCACCAACCCATGCACTTTTTTAAAATAAAAAAAAGTTTAAAAGTCAGTTTTCTCACATCTCTATATTTATGTTTGTTGTGTGTGTGAAATCCTTAAATCTCTGCTAAAAGAAGGACTAGAAAGATTAAATTTAGTATGGATACTCCTTAAACAATATTAAAGGAACTTTTTTTAAAAGTAGATTTTAAACAGTTTTTGTTTTTTAAAATGTGATTATTGTCTTACGATGCAAGATTTTTTTGACTTTTTCAAAAAACCTACATTTTTAAATTATATGAAAAATATTTAAAAACATGTTTAAAGTAAAGAAACTAAACCTGTACCTCTAAATAAGATAGGAAATCATGAATCTATCATTTAGTTTTTAATACATTCTTTGTTTTTGATATTTGAGGATTCTAATTACATGTTGTTTTACCCCCAAGATGGCTGCTATTGCCATGACAACCATGATATTTTCACACTCAAAGTATGCAAATGAAAAAAAAAACATGTATCCCTTCAAATGACCATTATAAAATAAATACTCTAACTTTATAAAATAAAATACAAAATTTTGGCGTAGTGACCCCTTAAGAAAAAAAAAAAAAAAGATACTCTGCGAAAAACCGTCATCAGAGCTATGAGTCTAATAAATATCATCATCATCAGTTCTCGTTAATATCCAAGACCTAAATCAAGTGGCAACGAACTCTCAGACAAGGAGAGCTATGACCTCTGCTCTGTGCGCCACCTTAGGCTGACGAGGAAAGACTCAGTAACTAACAATATTCTTCCTAATGCTTCTCTTAGAAGTCCTCTTTTTCTCAGACCGTTTGCTTCGCAAGTCAGTGACTGTTTTGTAATTCTTTGCACGATTCTTTTATAGATTGTGCCCTAGTACATCTCCACCTTTTTCGATTTACTGCAATCGATACATGCATTTGTCCAGAAATTTCTCTATCTCCAAATTTGTTTTTCTTGTTTTTCTTTTATAATTCACCACATTTTAGTTAGTGATTTTTCTCAGACATTCCAATCTTTTTCTTTGGTGATTCTCCAACTTTCGCTGGCATATGTTAGAATTAATTTAAATAGCGTAAGAATTAAACTTCTACTAGAACATAGACCTTCACACGATACAGGTTTTTTCTACAGAATCAGTAGACAGTTTTACCCAAACCTCCTTAATCGTTGCTTACGGCATGCAATGCGCGTCATCTTCTCAGGACTGGATTTACTCTCCCGGACTGCACCTCCTACACTCTCAAGGGTCGACCCAGGAGCCAAGATGATTTCTGAAGAAAGCCCGTTCCGTCAGTAACCGAACTTACGACCTTCCTTTATCTTCTTTTGTGTTAGTTAGCCTTTCAAAAGTACTTTATGGTTTACAGTTAGGCTCTTGAGCTCAGTGAGAATACCCACATCCCGGGTTCAGAACTCAAAAGGCAGGGAGAGCATATTGGCAGAGTGAGATACTGATTTTTGTATTATTATTTTTCAAAAAACTGCTTGGCATATGAGCACGGCAACAGACTGGTCAACCTTGACATTAAGCAGAAGAAGATCGCTTCAGGAGCCAGAGTGGCAGAAGACATAGCAGTAAACTGTTTATTTGGAGATGGTATGTAATTTGCTCTGGGCTGACAGGACTAGACTATCACCAACTGATACAAAATACTTCGCAGTTATGTGCACAATACATTCAAGACTAGGTTTTAAAACTGTGCCTATGTGGAAGGGCACCAAGGACTAATGTAAGCGAACTGCAGACATGTTTACTACATGTAGCTGACATATCCCAGGTCTGGCATGTAGCTGACACATCCCAGGTCTGGCATGTAGCTGACATGGCCCAGGTCTGGCATGTAGCTGACACATCCCAGGTCTGGCATGTAGCTGACATATCCCAGGTCTGGCATGTAGCTGACACATCCCAAGTCTGGCATGTAGCTGACACATCCCAGGTCTGGCATGTAGCTGACATATCCCAGGTCTGGCATGTAGCTGACATATCCCAGGTCTGGCATGTAGCTAACATATCCCAAGTCTGGCATGTAGCTGACATATCTCAGGTCTGGCATGTAGCTGACATATCCCAGGTCTGGCATGTAGCTGACATATCCCAAGTCTGGCATGTAGCTGACATATCTCAGGTCTGGCATGTAGCTGACATATCCGAGGTCTGGCATGTAGCTGACATATCCCAGGTCTGGCATGTAGCTGACATATCTCAGGTCTGGCATGTAGCTGACATGGCCCAGGTCTGGCATGTAGCTGACATATCCCAGGTCTGGCATGTAGCTGACACATCCCAAGTCTGGCATGTAGCTGACACATCCCAGGTCTGGCATGTAGCTGACATGGCCCAGGTCTGGCATGTAGCTGACATATCCCAGGTCTGGCATGTAGCTGACATATCCCAAGTCTGGCATGTAGCTGACATATCCCAAGTCTGGCATGTAGCTGACATATCCCAGGTCTGGCATGTAGCTGACACATCCCAAGTCTGGCATGTAGCTGACACATCCCAAGTCTGGCATGTAGCTGACATATCCCAGGTCTGGCATGTAGCTGACATATCCCAGGTCTGGCATGTAGCTGACATATCCCAGGTCTGGCATGTAGCTGACATATCTCAGGTCTGGCATGTAGCTGACATATCCCAGGTCTGGCATGTAGCTGACA